ACCCTGGATATCCCACACGCATCACACTGTACACACACACACACACACACACACACACACACACACACACGCTACACTCTTCTATCAGCTATGGCGGCTATGGCCGCTACTACTCCTATCGCTATGGCTAAGCTCTCCTTCTCGCCCACTTTGTTTTCGGGCTCACTGCAAACCACCTCGCACAAGTCGTTGTGGCAGCGCTTCCACATGGCTTACGCAGAAATGAATGAATGGTTGGGCACTGCCTCTTGATTGATACTTTTGTAGCTCGTTGCTCTGCCTCTTTTCCCATGCCCCTGGTGCACACAGTCCCACACGGTACTTGCTTGACTGGACTGTGACTGACTGGGACCGGTAGGTCCGGTACCGCAGACTGCATCGGTTTGCACTACGAACTCAATGCAGCCGACGTACCACAGTTGGGCTCACCAATTGCCCACTTGCCTCTGTCTAAACGTAAGTCATACTTCGAAAGGCCACTACTGGGACCTTCCGGAAGGCTGGAGACTTGGCCTTTCGAACACTACAGCAGCTACGACCTTGACCTTTCAGGACTGCGGCAGCTACGACGTTGACTTCTCATAACACTTACAGCTACGACCTCTAGGGCTCACTAAGACCTCTATCCAATAGGTCTACAAATCGAGACCCACCGACCTACGGACCTACGACAACCTACCAACTGTTGTGAATACACAGGTCACGGGTTCAACTCTCGGGGTCGACACAGATACTGTACATGGGCAAGGTAAGAACTAGGGACCGAGCCCTGGGATCTGCATTCGCTACTGCGAACAGGTGAATACCGTTTCAGCACCCATGTTTACATAGATAATCCAGCGGGGGAGATGTCGAGACCGTACTGTGATCGGCATCGGCGATTCTTTGTCGTAGCGCAGGTCGTCGTTGGCATGGACATGACGACGTATATGTGGCGTGGCAAGGGAGTGTGCATGATTCACGCGTCCTCATGAACTCCTCTTTGTGGGAAAGGGTAGAAAACAGATCGTTTTTTTGTGCTAATCCACTAGCGGCTAAGCCCTCCCTGGAGGTGTTCAGACCAAAGGTTACCTACTAGGAGACAACGGGTATCCAAGCCTGTCATGGTTGGTAGTGCCTTTTGGCGGGGCTCAAGAAGATGGATCGGATACGGAGTTGTTCGACACTGCGCATAAAGGGTGTCGTGGTTGTGTGGAACGAGCCTTCGGCAGGTTCAAAGGCATGTGGCGCATGTTCCCTCGCACCCATAAACCTCACATCACATCCTTGTCCCTGTAGTTTTGTGTTGTGTGTGTCATTCACAGAATCACAACCTCCTCATACGCTGCGAGGTGGGCATGGACCTAGTTCTCGCTCCGAGGAATGTTCATAGACACCCAGAAGATGACAACGATAACGATGACCAGCCACCGTCTCCTCGGGAGCTAACGGCCCAGGCAGCCCGTGCTGCAGGTCGCCGCGTGCACGATGCTTTGCGAGTGGTGGTGGCACAACACGTGTGTGACGCTCAACCTCACGCCCTGTGCCGTCTTCCTTTCGGAGTGTTTAAAATTGTGGAAGGGGCCCCGGAAAGGCAGCAAGATGGGGTGTGCCAAAGATTTTTGGAAAATTGAGTGCGGGGACACGGACAGAACCGAAATCCCCTATGTCGGTCCGACTTAGTAAGAAGGGGGAGAAGGGGGAGGGTCCGTCACCGGGCGGGTTTTTAGGGAGAAGAAGGCGCTTCCGGGACTCACAGCGGGGGGAAGTTCAATCCAAAAAGTATCGTTGAACTTCCCATCGAGCCATCTCTTTTAATTTATCGTGGAAGGGGTCGGGCACGTACTTGGTATCCCGTTTCCGGGTCAAGTCCCGACAACCTTTGAGTCTGACGTGGAAGACCTTAACCGAGTGGCTCTTTCCTTATGCTCATCTTCATCTCGTACCGGTAGTGAAAGCCCTTCGATTGGTAACGCTCGAAGCGGCGACAATCGCTGCACAGAGTGTTAGGCCAATGGGGCGCTACTGCCGACCACGGGATGACGATTAGCTTATTGAACGGCAATAGCAACGAATGAGGTGGAAAGTGTGTGTCCACAATAACAAAACCAGCACCGACAAATCCAAAGCATCGAGTTTCAGGAGGGAAGTAGTATCTTCCGCCGATCTTGGCGACGGCTTCTCGTACGTCCCACTCGCATACACGTGTCCTCTTCTCGTTATACGGGAAGGGGCGTGGCGGGGATGCGGGAGGTCGGCGCCCAGTCGGCTTGGGACAATTGGTCCACATGGCAATAGCGAAATCCTATCTAGCATGCATCCCACATGTCAATCACAACGATCCTACAATCTAGTCGGAGACAAGTCCACCAGGCAATCGTCTTATCATCCAAGCATTCCCATTCATTTTCGACAGACATTCATCAAAGAAGGTGCGAAAATGGCAGTCACACATCACTCGGTTCTTTGTGTGCTCTGCACCCCTGCCCCGTTATTTCAGTGACTAATTAAGCGTCCGCCAAAACAACCATCTCATTCCTCGTGTGCGACAGATCGACAAACATCCATAATTGTTCATGTCATAGAGGGAGAGAGAGTAGGTAGGGAGGAAAAGACGCGGAGCAGACAAAATAGATGAAGATTACACCAGGTTCCGATGATGAAAACGAGTTTCCGACCTGACTGCCATTGAACTGAACTCACACCAAAGAATAGATTCGAGACAAAGAGGCGCATCCGCCGTGAAGTTCCACTATGGGCCCGGGCCATTCATCCATTCGACTCTGGTCACTATGCCCGTGCATGCACTGACGATCCCGGTCGTCATGTGCCACTTTCCACCACTGCGATCGTCACCCCGTTGACTTAGTCTCTGCACGCCTTGCCCGGATCCCACAGTCCGTCGTGGCGATCAGGCGCACCGCCGGCCAGACTACAGTCAGCCCGTGCGGACTTTTCGACTCGCACTCCACACGTACCATCTAGCCACCGCTTCCCGGAAGCTGGCAGATGAGTTGACAGAGAGATTTGCGGGCGCGCTTGCGGAATTTATAGTTGCGGGAAGGGAGGTAGATACGAGGGAGGATGAAGGTTGGGGCAGGGAAGGGTGAGGGAGGACTTGGGGATAATTGCTCGGCGAAAGCCATGTTGATCCTTCTGACTCCGATCGTAGCCAATCAGAGTCGTCGCGTAATAGGAGCTTCCTCTTACACGGCGCTTCTCCTTGGCTAAACGGGGTGAAGAGAGGACCGACCGGGTTCTTGGGCGTAGGACTTAGAGTGGGAGGAAGAAGGGTGCGCGGGATAGCGCGAAACGGATCCAAGATTCAAATGATCAAGAAAGAGAAAAGGCGCACGGGCGAGAGAGAGAGAGAGGGGAAAACGGTTACAGAGGGAGAGTGAGCGCGGGCACGAAAGGAGCGTCGAAGAGGGTGAGGGGAGCAGAAAGGGGGAAGCTCGCTTGCATGGCGCCGATCACAAATGCAAAAAGAGGCACCAAAACTGTTACAGATTCCTAAGTCCTATGCTAATTCAAAAATTGAAATCACAATATCCGCGCGTAAAGTAGGCGTGGAAAAAAGACAGTCCTACGTCCGTTCGTATTCCCAACAAATTCCCAGAGTTTTCCGCGATGTGGTCGAGAACATTCACGCACAAAAAGGACACGTCGGGTTCCGTTCATTTCGGAATTTCTAACTGTCGAGCCAAATTCCTAGCGCGCACGCTAAAGCGCAATTCCCATGCATTTCCCAAATTATGAAAACGGAATTTCAAGAATCAATGAGACTGAAAACACGGGTCTCAGCAAGGCACCTTTAATCAAAAAGAAAACAGAGAGGGGCCTTGTTGGCCTGAGCAAAATTCGAAAAGAAAAAGGGAGAGAAGGGGTCCGGAAGATGGCACAGGCTCAGATGCTGGTACGTCACACGTGCGTGAGCAGCGGAACCGTCAACAAAGGAGATAGGAGGCGGTGCCTGTCGTGTCATTCCCATAGTGCGCTTGCATCACACACACACACACACACACACACACACACACACAGAGAGAGAGAGAGAGAGAGAGAGAGAGAGAGAGAGAGAGAGAGAGAGAGAGAGAGA